GAGGGGGAACTTGAGGGGGGGGGGTACGGGAGAAAGGGGGGGGGGGGACTTGGTGGGGGGGGGGGATGTGGGGAGGGGAAGGGAAGTGTGGGATAGGGGGAGGGGTGAGTGAAGTGGGTGGTTGGGGCGCTTACAAAAGCAAATACAAAGATCCCCCGTATAGCCTTAACAGGCTGTTCGGGCAAGTGCTGTTAGCGAGCATCTATGCAGGAAGGAACGGCACTCGAGGGGGGTGTGTGACCATCAGCACGCACGGCCGCCTTTGTCTCCCCAGTGACGATGTTTACGCACCGCACCAACTACTAATTTGATGCCGAGTCGACCTAGGGGAGTCCCGGGTCCTTGTGATGACCACAAGGTGCCGCATGACAAAGAGCCCCCCCGGGGTGCTGACGAGGGATGTCCAGGCTGTTGGGGCGAGTGCTGCTGCTGCTGTTTGCGAGCACCTCCTAAGGAGGGGGGCACACAATGCACGTGGGGGGGGGGGGGGGCAGAAAACCGCCTTTGTCTCCCCGATGCTAATGTTTACGCACAGCACTAGATAATTTATTGAAGGTTGAGTCGACCTAGGAGACGCCCAGCGCGGGTTCAGAGATTCGCCGCGCGTGTTAGCCGCGGGCGGGAATCGAAATCAGGGTCGCTGGGTTCGTAAGGCGCACACACACAAACACACGTGTACAACACACACACACACAGACACATACAACACACACACATACAAAACACACACACACAGACACGTACCACACACATGCACATACAAAGCACACACACGTACAACACACACACACGTACGACACACACAAACACACGTGTACAAAACACACACACAGACACGTACAACACATACACATACAAAACACACACACAGACACGTACCACACACATGCACATACAAAGCACACACACGTACAACACACACACACGTACAACACACACAAACACACGTGTACAAAACACACACACAGACACGTACAACACACACACATACAAAACACACACACACGTACAACAAACACACACACAGACACGTACAACACACACACACGTACAACACACACACACAAACACACGTGTACAAAACACACACACACGTACAACACATACACATACAAAACACACACACGTACAACATACACACACGTACAACACACACACACAGACACACGTGTACAAAACACACACACACGTACAACACACACAGACACATACAAAACACACACACACACGCACACACTCTCGATATCGTATGATAGTGACACACACACTAAGTACACTCACTCGACACGTACAAAATCACTACACTCAGACACTCACTGGAGACACACACAGTACACACACACTATAGACACACACACAGTGACACACACACAAGTGACACACACACACTATAGACACACACACATGTGACACACACACAGTGACACACACACATACAGTGACACACACACACAGTGACACACACACAGTGACACACACACACACACAGTGACACACACACACACACAGTGACACACACAGTGACACACACACACACAGTGACACACACAGTGACACACACACAAGTGACACACACACTATAGACACACACACTATAGACACACACACATGTGACACACACACAGTGACACACACACATACAGTGACACACACACACAGTGACACACACACAGTGACACACACAGTGACACACACACAGTGACACACACACACTATAGACACACACACACTATAGACACACACACATGTGACACACACAGTGACACACACACACAGTGACACACACACACACAAGTGACACACACACTAGACACACACACACACAGTGACACACACACAGTGACACACACACGCGCCACACTCTCCTCCCTCTCCCCCTTTTCCCGCGCGCGCGCGCCCAGCACGCGCAGCGCCCCGCGCCGCGCGCCAAGTCGCGAGCCCCGCCCCACGCAACCCCCACGACCCCCACCACCCCCACCACCACCACCACCCCCTAAAATTACCCCGATCGGACACGCACTCCCACACTCCCTCCCCTCTCACTCCATCCCCCCCCTCTCACTCACTCACCCCACCCTTCACTCCCTCTCTCACTCTCTCACTCCATCTCTCACTCTCTCACTCCATCTCTCACTCCCCCCCCTCTCACTCACCCCACCCTTCACTCACTCTCTCACTCCATCTCTCACTCACTCACCCCACCCTTCACTCACTCTCTCACTCCATCTCTCACTCACTCACCCCACCCTTCACTCACTCTCTCACTCCCTCCCCTCTCACTCACTCTCTCACTCCATCTCTCACTCCCCCCCCTCTCACTCACCCCACCCTTCACTCACTCTCTCACTCCATCTCTCACTCTCTCACTCCATCTCTCACTCACTCACTCACTCCTTTTCTCACTCCCCCCCCTCTCACTCACCCCACCCTTCACTCACTCTCTCACTCCATCTCTCACTCACTCACCCCACCCTTCACTCACTCTCTCACTCCCTCCCCTCTCACTCACTCACTCACTCTCTCACTCCATCTCTCACTCACTCACCCCACCCTTCACTCACTCTCTCACTCCCTCCCCTCTCACTCACTCTCTCACTCCATCTCTCACTCCATCTCTCACTCCCTCTCGCCCACCATCTCTCACTCCCCCTCCCAACCACTCCATTCCAATAACCCTCCAACATCCGACTGCAGCGTCGCGTTGTGAAAGGACATCACTATGACCGTACCACTGCGCTCCCCGCACTCCGAGCAACTCCGCTCCTCTTCCCCGCCGGTGGCTTCACACTTCCCGCGACTGGATTTACGTATTTTATTTGTTGTTATTGTCGTCAAATTCAGCCATGAAAAGTCCACCGTGACGCCTATTAGCGTGGCCATCCAACCGCGGATTAAGAATGACCGGCGGTGACTGTGAAAACTCAGAGTACAGTAGTAATACAACACATCAAGAAGGGCCATTTACCGAAACGTCGTCTTCTGGCCACACGCGCGTGCTGTTGCCGACGAGTCTATTGGAGTTGTGGGTTGTCAACTTCTCCCTGCGCACGGCGACTGATGTAGCTGCAGAGCGTCAACGAGCAGGTCACACTCAGGGGGTCAGGCCAGACACCCTCTTGTGCGCACCACTGCCAACGCAGCAGCAGCAGCATCGCCTAACTGCTTGTAAACAAACGTAACAGCTTAACAACAACAACAGTAGGCAGTCCAGTACAGCAAGTAGGCGCGTGACTTCCGAGTTGTATCTGGACTGCGAGTGGGAGCCGCGGTGGCGAGGAGATGTTAACTACCTCGCCTGGTACACAAGAGGTCGGGGATTCGATCCCAACCCTGACGCCTGCTGCTGTATATTTGGAGTGTGCGCGTCTCTCTCTCCCCGTCGTAGCGTGGGGTTTCCTCCGGGTCCTCCGGTCTTCCCCTCCACATTTAGAAACACGCGTTCAGAGTATTTCGGTCGCTCTACATTTCCAACGTGATAAGCCACTTCGTCGAGCTATCACGTTGCTGCCAGCTCGCTTCTGAGAGCTTCATAGTTTAAGTTTAGTCCCCCCCCTCCCCACCCCCCTCGTGTGACGACGACTCCTGTGCCACAGCTGCCCCGGCACCCTCGGCAGAGACACGAGGCGAGGTCTCTTCCCACGCGCCGTGATCGACACACGGGGCAGGGGGGTGCCACTTGGCGCTGTGAACCCGCATGCCCGAGTTCAATTCCTGGTCCAGGCTTTGGAATCGGTGGCGAGTGATGGTTTTATCTGAACAGGTCACCCGAAGGATCCTTCCTGCTCGCGATGTCTTGTTAAAAAAAAAACGTCTAAAGGTGTTGGCTGCGGAGGTTTTGCCCCAGAGGGAATTGTATTCAGGTCTGCTTCGTATTAATTGCCTCGGGCATGCGATAATAATGTAGCGGAGGCATTCGTTGAAGTGTAGAGAGCAGCTAATAATGCGCGTAATTCGAGATGTGCGTGTGGAGACGCGCGTGGTGATGCTGGTGCTTGGTTTTAAATAACAAAAAAAATCCCCACAACTTTTCCCACCAAGCTACCACCGTTGCCACATCAGCAGCACAACGAATCGTCATCGCCACGATCCCATCGCCAGTGTTGTTAATGAGTCATCATGGTCATTATAATTCACATTACTACCGTAATCAACAGCAGTCATCATCAACTGCATTGTTCCCATCGCCACAAAGACCAGCGTCAGCAGAACCATTACACCATCCCTCCACCACCGCCACCACCATCATCATCATCAGCAGCAGCGCCATCATCACAAACCACGCCAGTAGCAGCGAACCCGTATCTCCATCCATCCACGTCCCCAGGTTTTAACCCAAAAGCCACCCGCGACATCTCTCCACACCAACTCCCATCATCATCATCACGAGCCCTCAAACATCCCCCACCCCGCGACCCCCCAATCATCCCCTACCCCCACCCCCCTCATCTCCCTCCTTTCCCAAACGTCGGCCGCGCGTGCCTGCAGGGGTGACTCATCCGTGGCACGCGCGCCCATTGGCCGACCCGAGTGTGGGAAAGCAGTCGCGCGGAGTTTCACAGACGGCCCAGGAATGTAAAGCCCGCTCCCTCCCCTACCCCCAACACCCCGCACACACGCGCGCACCCTCCTTCCACACACACACGCGCACGCGCACCCCTCCCTACACACACACGCGCACGCGCGCGCACCCCCTTGCTCCCTACGCACGCGCGCGCGCAGCGCACGGTCGCGCACACGCCTCGCCCCGAGCCGGCCCCGCCACCACAGCCATCATCATCATCACCACCACTACTGCGGGCATCCCTACCCCCCACTCCACCTTACCACCTCCCTCCTCCTCCCCGCCGCCACCATCAGCAAACTCGGCCAAGAATCATAAACCTTCCTCCCCCCACTCCACAAACCACCCACCCACCCACCTCCTCCTTCACCCTCCCCCCCAGCCACCACCCCCCTACCCAGCCACACGCGTCTCGCCCCCTATAAAAGGCGAGCCACGAGGCTGTTGTGACCCACAACACGCGCAGGGCTCCCACCACCACCGCCGCACCGACCGCGCGCTGCTCGCGTAGCTGCCTTTCTCTGGTCACCGACTCGGCGTGAAGACCCTTCGGCAGCAGCAGCAGCATCATCGCCATGCCCGTGGACACTCTCGACAAGAATGCCTCGTCTCCCGTGGCCGCGTCGACCGCTTGCAACGCGGCGGCGGCGCCCCCAGACAAGCCCAAGTCGGCGAGCGAGCATCGCAAGGTGATGACCAGCGACGGGAATGATGATAGCTACGGGCTGCCGCGTGGCGTCAGGTTACGTGGGAGCCGACCTGCGTTGCTGAGTGTGCGATTTGGGTTTAAAAAACAACATGACGAGCTAGCAGCTTATAGGGCGTTCAGTTAAATCATCAGCTGAGCTTTTGCTTTCATTCATTACCGAAGGGTGATTAGCAGTGGATTGAATATTGCAATAATGATGATTACGATGATAGGGAATGGCTTCGTTAATTGTGCACTCATATTTTGGGTGAGGATATACAGAGAGCAGACTCAACTGTTACGCATTGAACACGCGCCTTGACTTCGCTTTCATTGTCACTGACTGCTGCTTTAACGACTGCTTTCGCCAACTCTTTGCCATTGCAGTCGACCAAGCCGGTGATGGAGAAGAGGAGGAGGGCTCGAATTAACGACAGCCTCAATCAGCTCAAAGCCCTCATCCTGGAAGCTCTCAAGAAAGACGTGAGTTCCGCACCGCGACTGGATTGTTCAACAAAACAAATAACTTTATTTAAACAATCGCCCACTCGCTCACAACGTTCTGCCGAGCGCGCGTCTCACCTAACGATGTGCCTCCTCTCCCAACAGAGCTCCCGACACTCGAAGCTGGAGAAAGCGGACATCCTCGAGATGACGGTGAAACATTTGAGAAGTCTGCAGAGACTCCAAATGAGCGGTGAGTAACGTAACATTCATGTGCTGCGCAACCGCGACCACTCATGCCACACACACACTCCGCTCGCGGTATATTCATTCTACAGAACAATACATTGCTATTTTACTACTGCTACTGTGTAAATACATCTATCCTCCGGCAGATATCTTGTAGCGCGCATGTTGTAGTTTCGCCAAAAAATCAACTTAAGTTCCTAAAGTTGTGGTGCACGAAGTCGACTTAAAAAAACACAGAATCGCGCGCGTGATTCCCGCGTAGCAGTTCAAGCAGCGTGACACTCAACTCCCTCTCCCGTCTCTCCCCCCCCCCCGACCACCCAACAGCCGCCCTGTGCGCAGCAGACCCGGGCGTGCTGGGCCGTTACCGCGCGGGCTACAGCGAGTGCGTGAACGAGGTGACGCGGTTCCTGTCCACCAGCGAGGGGGTCCACGCCGCGGTGCGGACGCGCCTCTTGGCGCACCTCGCCGACTCCATGGCGGGCATCCCCTCCGGGACCGGTGGGGGGGTCTCCCCTTCCCCCCTCGCCGCGTCGGGGAACCCCCCAGCGCTGTCGCCCCTCGCCCTCCACGGAGCCGCGCTGCCCGTCTCATCCTCCTCCTCCTCCACCAACACATCCGTGTCCTCCGCCACGAACTCCTCCGGCGGCGCCTTGAGTTTGAGCGCTCGCCTGGCCGCGTACGGGGCCGCTGGCGTGCAGGTCATCCACACGGCGGAGGGGCCCTTCGCCTTCATCATGGCCAAGGGCGCGCAGTGCGGCGCCGGGTTCCCCCAGCAGCCGGGGCCCGTGATGGTGCCGCTTTTTGCGGGCGGTGTCGAGGGACAGCAGCAGCAGCAGCATTCTCCACCCAGCAGCCCCCCCGTCAAGCCGGGCTCGCCCCCCCTTCTGGGTTCCACCTCCATAAGCCCAGTCGTGCGGGGACAAGCGCGGCACGGCCAGCCCCTCCAGCCGGTGCACAGGGCCTCCGCAGCCGTGTGGAGGCCCTGGTGATAGATGGACCCAACCCCCACCCTTCCCACCACCCATCCTCCTCTCATGGGGCCAGAGATGAAACTCGTGGAGACAAAATCTATGCCACGTGGGTCACAACAAGCCAGAGTTTGTGCCCACGTGAGGCCCTCAAATGATCGATCGCTGCTTGGGCCACGGGGTTTTGTTGTTGTTCAATTCTCCTTCCAGACGTTTGCAATGAAAATCAAACCACGCCGTGCCTCTCCGGCCCCCGTGGTGTCCACACGCACTGCGGGCCTCGCCTCAAACTTATCACTGCCACGCGCGTCTCCCTGCGAACGCAACGCGAATTGTGCCTTCTTCACAATACTCCTCGTCGGCGTCTTCGACGTTCGAAGCCCAACGCGATTCGTTTGGTGAAAGAGAGCCGCGCGCGTGCCTCTCAGCGCGGTTTTTGTACATAGCGTGGTCGCTGTCAATACGTTTCACTCTCGTTGTTGTTTTAAATTATGCCTAATATATGTCGTATGCGCGAAGATGTACATCATTGTGACGGCAGTGAGCGCGTGTCGTCAACGCGTGCCGATATTCGCCCTTGTAGGGCGGTGAAACATTTTTTTTTTACCAAAAAAAAAGAGCCTCTGCTGCTATATGACACCATCATCATCTCGACACGGTGATGGGAGTTAATAAAAAAGAACACATTTTATATATCTATAACGGCGTGTCGCTCTTCTTTTCTTCCAACTCACTCGCATCCTTTCCCCCCTCCACTCCCTCCTCCTCTACCCACTGGACTGGCACAGATCCCTCTCCATCTGATGCATGTCGCGACCTCCCCAAGTCGCATGACGCCAGTGTCGAGGGGGAAAGTGTCCCGGTGGCTCAAACGTGGCGACTCCGCAGAGCGCGTTCCCATTGGCGTTCGTAAGCAGCAAGTCGTAGATGATTCCACATTACCTGGGACGAGGGCAAGTACGTCCAATTAAACGACCAGCTGCTCATCACCGGGTGGTGCTCGTTACTTTATCGGCCGTGGAGACAAGGAGACAGGATGGGTTCACGCGACCCTCGTTGACTTGGATTCGTTAATAATCATCATAATCATCATCCTTACGGGGGGGTGGGGTCTCTAAATCGAGTACCACTTTGTGGCTAAAACAACGACCTGCACACGTGCAGCACACGGCTGGGGCGTCACGCGGGGCATGGGGGAGGGGCGGGGAGCACGTGACCATACTTCACCACGCTGGTCAATGCGGGCTGGTGAAGGCAGGGAAACCTCGCCGTGGGAGCATAGAAGAACGGTACAATAGTGGATGTTGCTGTGATGCTGCTCGTAGCGTAGCCCCTCGGCAGCAGGTAGCCGATAGCGCCTGTTATGCACAGTGGCCTCCCAACTCGGCCTGTGCCTGGCTGTTGTCCATCCAGGTCGTTGTCCAGCCTCAACAATCCTGCTCAGCTTCCGCGGTCTGACGAGATCGGGAAGAATTTCCGTGCTACTTTGGCCACAGGCTGTCGTCAATCGAGCACCTCCACACACCACGGGCTGCCCATCTCCTCCGGCGTCCTTTATTCTTCATCATCGCTGCCTGTTTGATGTGGTAGCATACGCAACGCAGCAAAATCACAGTCCCTTGTCATAGGAACGTGGAATTGGCACCGCTGGCTTATAAAGTCCACCTCCCGGCATATGTGGGTGGGTGCCACCCGCGATGTTCCTGCCTGAGTCGGGGGGGGGGGGGGGTGGAGTCGGGGGGAGGTCGTGCGGTGATTGAGATGTGGGGCCAGCGATGGTTTTTGTGTAAACACGGCCGCGTTGGGGATGCCACTCTGGACAATTTCACTTCGCACTGCCCAAACACAAACTCCTTTCCCCAAACACACAAACTCAATCCCCTACACACAAACACACGCACTCAACACCTACACACGCCTGCTGCCTTTTGGTCTCAAACACAACCAACAATTAAGTGACCCGTCACACAGCGGCAACAGCATCGTGAACGGGGGGTGGGAGCGGTGGCGCAGTGATTAGCGCGCTGGGGATTTGAACACTTAAACACATGGCCACACACGTTTCTAGCCGCATCAACTTGGAGCGCACGGTGGCTATTATAGTCACGACATCGTCACAGCCACAAGCATCACACTATTGTGTGAAGATCTGTGATGATGGTTGCAGTCGAGTATGGTTTAGTGGATAGTGAGCGCACTGCGTTATGAACCCGGCGACCTGAGTTCGATTCCCGGCCACGGCTAATTAACATCAGTGGGAAATGACATCGTAACAGCCGGAGGGTGTAAGTATGATCGATTGTATGCCGATACGTTCCCGTAACGCCTTGCAGCCAGCTAGAAGTCACTACATTCACCAACACGATAAAACATCTATTAATGCAATGCCTACACGCGCCTATGCATTGGATCGAGAATGGGAAGTATAGTTACACTTCACATACTACTAATTTACAACCATTTTTCTGGATGAAGGTCTTCGGTGTGCCTGCCCATACTTCACCACGCGTTTCAGTGTGGTGGCTCAGAGGCTGTTGAAACGTCAAACGCCACCGATGTCATCCGTGGCCTGAGATCGACCTCAGGTCGTCGGGTTCACAGCGCGGTGCGATGCCCACGAATCGGACCCGACCATGAGAGCCGTTCGTGGATCTTCACCAGCAAGAGATTGATCGTGGCTCATGATGATGATGATGGTGTTGCACATTAGCCCGTGCGAGTCGCCAGGTGTGGAGGTGTCAACATCCCCAGGGGGCAGCGTGGGTAAACTTTACCCGAGCGAGCCGTGGTGTTAAGGCCCGCAGTAAAGTATATAAACGTACACACACACACACGGAAAGATCACGCGTATGGGCTGCCAGACTGTCGGGCAAAGTGCTGTTAGCGAGCAGGTATTAAGGAGAGAAAAAAATACTCATTTGACATTAAAACTACATGCGACGTTTGGGCAATAACCCTTCTCACGAAGAAGGTCCAATGGCCGAAACGTCGGCCATTATATACATCTATTTTAAGACCACAGTGTTATTGACGAATTTGTTTAGTTTTTTTTTGCATCGTGTAATCGTGTAATCTAATCAGCGGACAGGGGGGCCAGTTGAAATGACCCAGTTGAAAGGAGCTGGTCTCGAGTACCGGATCAGTCCGGCCCGACCCGTCCCGACCTGCTTCTAAGTGATCGTGGGAACGCAGCAGCAAGCGGAGTGGTGTTGAAGACAAGGGCCCCCTTTATACTTTCGAATGTTCGGGGCTCGCGGAATGCACGTTGATACATACAAAGTAATCTAAAGATGCCTCGGTCCTCCGATGGTGATGAGCTCATCATGCCTTCAACAATACCGCGCGAGCGTCAGAGAGGGCGGGGAAGCGATGGCCATTGGGTGGAATTCCTCCTCTCTTTGAACTGCAATGATCTTTGTGCGTCCTTGTGAATGAATATGCGTGCATAGCAGCAGGCGGGATGGAGTGTGTGTTAATGTGAATGTGTGTATGTATGATGGGGGAGCGGTATTGTAGTCGTTAGCGCGTTGCGCTACGAACCCGGCGCCCCGAGTTCAATCCTCACCAGTAACGATTATCTGAACTGGTTCTGGGCCTCCCCTAGGTCGACTCAGCCTCAAATGAGTACCTGGAGACAAGGGCGTGGTGTTGACCACCCAGCCACTCGTGTGCTCACGAACAGCACTTGCCTAAACAGTCCGTGAAGGCTATACGGCAGATCTTTGTCTTTGTGGATGTGTGAGCGTGTGTGACGGTTTTTTTTCTTCTCGTGCGTGTGTGTGTAAAATTAATGCGTATTTGGGCGTGGTTGTTAATGCGCTTGTCAATAATGCTCGTGTGTTTAATGTGTGTGCGCGTGTGTGCATCGATGCGTGTAAGCCGAATGTTTGTGTGCGTGCATGGGAACTGCGCTCGTAAACCGGCGACCCAAGTTCGATTCCCGCTCACGGTCAATACAAGTTAAGATTATCTGAACCGGTTCCTGGGCGTTCTCTAGGTCGACTCAGCCTCAACTGAGTACCTGGTGCGATGTGTAAAAATCTCCACTGGGGAGACAAAGGCGGCCGGGCGTCGTGCTGTCCTCTCATGCGCCGTCCCGGCCTTCATAGGTGCTCGCTAACGGCACCTTGATGTCGGTGTGATCTACTATTATTCTAAGTGTATACCACCCTATGCGTGTGTGTATGCGTGTCACAGTTCAACTTCCCCTAAGTCAACTCCTCCTGCTGCCATGTCGCGTTTACGTTTGGGTCTCTGCGCCCACCGTCTGTTGACGGCGACACGAGAGGGAGTCTCAGTCTCTGTGTGTGTGGGAATGCGTGAGCGGCTGTTAGTGGAGTAGGCGCCGTGGGGAGCGGTGGCGCAGCGGTTAGCGCGCTGCGCTACGAACCGTGGCGACTCCAGTTCGATTTTCGCTGACGGGCTGTGCCTCATCTAGGTAGACTCGGCCTAAAATGAGTACCTGGACCGGTGTGTGTGTAAACATCGCTGCTGCGGAGACGAAGGCGGCCGGGCGTGGTGCTGGCCACCCACCCCCTCGTGTGCCGTGCCGGCCTACTCGCTCACAGCACTTGCCCCAACAGTCTGTTAAGGCTACACGGGGGATCTTTGTCTTTGTGAATGTTTGTGTGTATGCCCCTGAGCACTTCGTGTGTATATGCGTGTGCCTTTATGTTAATGTGTATGTTAATGTGTTTGCGTGTTAGTGTATGTGGGTGTATGTTAATGTATATGTGCATATTAATAAGTGTGTTAGTGTGTGTGTGTGCTATAGTGTATGATAGTGTGTTTGTTTGTGTGCGTGTGCTCATGACCGGCTCCGGTTTGACAGCAGAGGTCTCACTCAGAATCAGTCGAGCGGCATTATATTTTCATCGGTTGCGTAACGTTGTGTGGAAGCTACCTGGTCTGTCGCTGCGCAAAAAGCTTCAGGTCTTCTCGGCCACGGTCATTTCCTCCCTTCTCTACGCTTGCGAAACGTGGACCCCCCTAATGGTTAGAGACATTTAGCCTGGCCTGCCTGCGATTCATCCTGGATTAACCAGGCTGGATTGTGTGAGAAGCTCACGAATCCGTGAAAGATCTGGACAAAGTCCCATCGGTGAGCTCCTCCGGCAGGCAAGGCTGCGTTGGCTGGGTCATGTGGCCCGCATGCCCAGCCACCGCATGCCAAAACAGCTTTTGTTCGGCCGGATCGAGGGGGCTAAACGGGCGCGGCACGAGCTAGAGAAGAGATGGAGTGATGTGGTACAGGAGGACGTGGAGCTGAGTGGACTTGCCGATGACTGGTACCAGCGGTGTCAAGATCGGCCTCTGTGGAGGAGGCTCGTGAAGGACGCTACTGGGCAGTTGGAGGCAGTCGCCCTCCAACAACAACGGTGGGCGGAGGAGCGACGCTCACAACAACGAGCGGAGCGCCGGGTGTATAAAGCACAGCAATTTGGCACAGTAGGGGGCACAGGTGGTGCATCAGCCAGTCATCTCGGTCATCTCGGTCAGTCGACCCGTGGCACCTGCTGGGTCTGCCCCGTGACCTCCTGCCAGCGGGCGTTCGACACTTCACGTGGCCTCAAGGTGCACTTGGCCTGGCACAAGCATCGTGGTGACGTCACCGCCACTTAGTGGCGAATGGCGGTTGTTGTTGTTGTTAGTGTGTGTTAGTGTGTATGTTAATGTGTGTTAGTGTGTATGTGTGCGTGTGT